GAAATGATTGATGTTAGACCACCGTTGGAAACCTGGAAGCACTGGACGGCCGTTTCGTCCAATTGTGGGGCTCCTCAGCAGTGCGCATCCACAATCCCGCTCGCGGGATTCGAACCCAGGGGCTTCGGTCTCGTTAACATGTGCTCAATAGTGACTAGCTTCGTGAGGGGATTCTCGGAGTTCTAGTGAGAAGCCGTGACCAGTGGAGCTAATCCATGTTGGGTAGAGACAGGTATCTACCTCAGTACAATGGGAGATGGTCGCGCAATTTCGTGGATTGCTTGGTGTTAGACACTAGCACCATTGGATGCCAACTCAGTGGTCCAGTAGGTCAAGCGTTCGCGCGCGAGACCGAAGGCCTGGGTTCGAACCCCGCGAGCGGGCTGGCGGATGTGCACTACTGGGGAGCCCCACAATAGGACGAGACGGCCGTCCAGTGCTTCCAGGTTTTCAGTGTTGGTCTAACATCATTCGGTTCATGATCTCACTCAAAAACTTATTTACTCACTTAAAAAGTTTCATCTGATGTCGTTTCAATGAGTTTACAATTTTACTTTGACAATAAGATGACATAATACTTTACTGAATCACTCGCATTCTAATAAGAAAAATTAGTTAACATTGACAGACTTTTTGACATATCTAGCGATCAGAAGGGGTTTGTGGAGATTTTAGAAATTTTCACAGATTGAAATCATGAGTCAGTTGAAGCTAGACCACCATTGAGAACCTGGAAGCACTGGACGGCCGTTTCGTCCTAGTATGGGACGACTCAGCAATGCGCATCCACGATCCCGCACCACGCGGGGCTCGAACCCAGGACCTACTGGCTTCGTGCGCGAGCGCTTAACCATTAGACCACTGAGTCGGCATCCAACGGTGTTAATGTCTAACTTCAACCAATCCACGAAGTTGCGCCACCATATACCATTGTCTTCAGTGAGCTGATATCTCACAACAGACCTGGTTGTACTCCACTGGTAACGGCTTCTCACTAGAACTCCAGGAGTATCTCTTGAAGTCAGTCACTAGTGAGCAGATGATTATTATCAGAAGGGGTTTGTGGAGATTTTAGAAATTTTCACAGATTGGTTAAGTGCTCGCGCGCGAAGCCAGTAGGTCCTGGGTTCGAGCCCCGCGTGGTGCGGGATCGTGGATGCGCATTGCTGAGGAGTCCCATACTAGGACGAAACGGCCGTCCAGTGCTTCCAGGTTTTCAATGGTGGTCTAGCTTCAACTGACTCATGATTTCAATCTGTGAAAATATCTAGCGATCGTTTAAATATCCCCGTCATATTAAAAGATTAGTATTTGAACGAAGAATATTCTTTTCGATAAATTCTCATCAGGTTCTACAGTTATACATCCAAATTAATAATCCGAAAAAATGGCCAGGTTAAGGGCAAAATACATCGTTTAGAGCATGTGAATTTAGGATTGTGATAAACAAAATACAATTTCGATAATGTAATAAGAAGACGAAGATTATCATAACTATGTGATATATTAGCGCAATACATTTCGAACAATCTGATCAAACACGTACTTGTTAAGAGCATTTATATATAAGAATAAAAGGTCAACTAGACAGGAAACAGGGTAAGAGGAGATAAGGATAATGATAAGAGTAATAATAATAATAATGTGAACACAAAGCGAAACCTAATCACTCTGGCTAATAAGTCAATATTACCAGGGTAGGTTTAAGGTTTGTGTATTCAAAATACAGTAAAATTGTTAATGTTAATAGACTCATATAGAATGTTAACTTGAATCTGCGTATATGTTAAGTGAGATTTAAGATCCATGATCAGAATAAATGTGGGTCAAATAGGGTGAGACAGAAATAATAGTGCAATTACAATTCGATCAAATAAGTAAGACGTAATACGGAGGGATGAATGCGAAGTGAATGAATCATGTATAGGAAAGATTAATAATGATGTTTAACCAATAATAATAATAATAATAATACAAAGATTTATGAATAAAGATAGTTCATTCAATACTTAAGATTACGATTGATTAATTGGCCTTGATATTGGCCAGGGGAGGAGGAGGAGTGGTTGAATATATTTCTTCTGTACGCAAAGCTCCGGTTTCTTCATCCGGATGGCTATTGCTTCAGCCGTTTGAAGGACTTTCAGTCTGACCAGTTTTGGCAAAAAATTACTTACCTTATAAATAATTGAAAAAGATTGGTTTATACTGGCACTATGACCGGTTTGTACTAAATGGGCCAATATTGAGCTGTTCACCTTCTTCATCAAACCTTTATTTAGCCACGCTGGAAGGTGTTTACGAGCACGAAAATGTAAATTCCTAGAACTTCGACCAATATAACACGCTCCACAGGAGCAGTTGAACTGATAAATACAAAATGAAGTGGTCATTCTAGGTAATTCATCTTTTAGCTTCGGTGTAACCATTGGGCGCGTAGAAAATACTAATCGTAGTTCTCCGGCGTTAAAAGACCTTTGTATTGTCCTACGTAATCTCTGAGTTAGTATTTCGCTAGCCGCATCCCCTCTGAATTGCAGACGCATGAACAGGCATTTCTTATAGCGATATTTTTAGTGAAATTAGTCCTGTTCTCATTTAATTTCCGTCACTTAGAATTATCTTAAATAATTTAAGTTTTAAAAATAATGAACTTGTCAAGAAAGCTATTTAATTAAACTGATCAAACTTTCTTTATTCAAGATATAATGGTCGTGTTCCCTCTCTATGTGCACTATTGTGGTGTGTGATACTGATGTCGATAGATATAAATAGTATGTATTATCAATCAAAAGTGAAACGCCTAGAAGGTTAAGAAGATCAAATAAAAGAGAACAAGAACAAAGAATGATTAGTGCGGAAACGAAAGAACAATGAAGTCTGAGACGATTGATTGACATTTTGCAAATTAAGATTTTATTAAGAGATTCTATGATTTTGTGTTCAAATACACTTGGTTCCCCCCTCTTGTGTTCGCGTTCATCACACTATGAGCTTTATGTAAAGTATTCAAAGATTTTAACTTTATTTAAACGTTTAGGTACGATATTTTTCGTATTAAAAAGTCTTCATTGAGTTAAATTAGGTAGATTTACCTACAATAAAAAGTCTTAAAATATTCAAGAATTCAATTACTTTATCAGTGTTTTATTGCACTGCTAGACTGACCTTGAGAGTGTTCATCTAATAACTAGGACCAAATGAGGGTTATAAACCAGTGTGAGGAATTAGAATTATGATTTACAGTTATTGATTAAGGTTAGAAATTAGATTTAGAGTTTTCATCACGAACTGATATCAGCTATAATGCCAAGACTCTATTTAGCCAAATGAATGAGTGAATTTCGCACCAAAATCCGAAACCTGTTATCTTATACCTGATTGGTTCGTCCACAAATTATAGTCTCGCCCATTCACCTTTATCATTTACTATAAATGATGTTCATAGTGTAATATGACTATAAGCTTAGAAAAAAAAAACTATTTAGGACATTTGAACCATTGTGATGAATTTAATTGAAGTATATGGATAAAATGTATAGGATGTTAATATTGATAGAAACTACAACCAAGTGTATGGAATAGTTAAAAGAGTTTTGATTAAATAACTTAAAGTTTGAATACTTTTCCAAATAAACGTGATAAACAATAACATCTAACAATGAACACATTGATTGTTTAAAAGTTACAATCATGTTTGTGGACTTATGTTGTCAAAGTAGTAAATATGATGGGTTTTATTTAGAGAAAGGAAAATATTTATCTTTTCCAAAACCTGAATGATTATGTTTTCTCAGTTTCGATCAGATCGCTACAATCATTTTAGAATTCATTTAGTTATGGATTGTTTGAATCTTTCGACTGATATTTAAGACTGCAGTTAATCCATCTTTTATTTGCATGTGTTCATCCAGTGCAGATTGCCACAATCACAAGCATTGTAGGCAGAAATGGATGGTGGCTAGCAGTGGAATCAAGGACGCGCGTTTCGTTGTATTTGGGACTCGTTAGCTAGGTGTATCAAGCATCTCTGCTTGTAATGCTTATGATTTAAGGCAATATCAAGGCCATCTTCACAGGATGTACACATTGCAACAAGTGACTGATCAATTACAGTCCTCAACATCAATGGGAAGATTCAGTTAACCAATACAAAATGAATAAAAATTCACTTCGTTGCACAAGCTAGTGGGTATCTGAACTTATTTGTTAAGTGGATGTTGTGATGACATTTGAGGCGAACGGTATTGGGTTCGAGTCCCAGGGTGACACATCAACTCTGGGATGCATGTAAATCCAGCTGACGAGATGCGCTTCCTCGATTCCACTGCTAGCCACTAAACATTTCAGAATTTATAACGCCTTATATACTTCATGTGAAATTATCATCAAATGACTTTGTCGGAGATAGTTGAACTTTTTTGATATAGGATTCGTTCTTATTTTCTTCATTAGCAAGGTTTACTTTAAAAATAAGTCAATGTCACGTTTTCTATACGTTTTTTCATGATGAGGTTTAGAATTAAATGTGGAAAACTACCTAACTAAGAACCATCTAATTTGTAAATATAAAACATAACTACAAGGAATAACCTGATTATCTAATAGTTAAACCTCTAGATACTTTATCAAACAACTGTCTAGCTAATATCTCATGGAGCAAACGCTTCTTTTTGTATTTACAGATATGTCATGACTATATGCATCAAGAAGTAAGTTTCTAATAATAAACCTTTCCTGTTGACTTCCTTTAATCATGAAATGTTTATTATAGATTATTATTGTCCTAGGTTCAAATCTCACGAGGCGGAATCATGGATACGCATTGTTGAGGAGTTCCGCAATCGGACGGAACGGCCGTGCAGTGCTTTCAGGTCTTCCATGATGGTCTAGCTCCAACTGACTAATGATCCGCCAAACCCCTTCTGATATTAGTATTTTATTAAGTTACTATACAAATGTATCATATAAAAAAAAGATATAATACTACAGATTGCCTGAAAATTTTATTCTACTTTACATTAATATTTACAATGGTGATACATAATATGAGGAAGCATAAAATGCTTGTCAATATATTTGGTTGGATGTAAATACTTTTATGGGTACAATATGATCCGAATTATTTACACAAGTTAGATTTAGATGAGATTAATTTGACTTGTACAGCAAGAATGCCAATTGGTCCACGAAATATCGAAAACAGTATTCTAAATCCCATGTATCAAAGCTAAAATTAAAAAAGACCATAAATAATAATAATAATAATAATATTGTTTTGGATTGATTACTATGTTGATAATAAACAATAAATAATGCTCTAGCAGCTTGTGAACTGATAATGATGTATATGATTTATCATTTGTAAGAATGAAGTAACTGGATAATATTAGGATTTTAGTAGTTGACATCATGATTCAATTGAAGCTAGACCGCTATGGAAAATCTGTAAGTACTGGACGGCCGTTTTGTCCTATTGTGGGACTCTTCAGCACTGCACCTCCACGATTCCACCTCGCGATATTTGAACCCAGGATCTATCGGTCTCGTGCATGAACGCTTAACCTCTAAATCACTGAGCCAGCCGGCATCCAACGATGTTAATGTGCAACCTCAACTAATCCATGAAATTGAGCATGAATGTGACTCATGATCTCAACTGTTAAAATTACTACAATATCCACAAAACCCCTCCTGATAACATTACGATTATCAAAATATTACGATTATTACAGCAACCTGTTAACCATTAAGACTAAGGTCGATTAATTTAATTACCATACGTCATTATAGATGATAATGTACATAAATGAAGGACAAACATTCAAAAGGGAAATTCAATCCAATTAAGTATAACAGACCAAAATGAACTCATTATATATGTTCTGAACAACAACCAAGTGTTTGTAAATAAACCATACAGGTCGAGGGACAGATTACTAAACTTGTTAGTTAACTTGATCGTCATTTGTTTTCATCGATAAGCTAGTATAATAAATACATCTTGCAAGATCAACGAAGTACTCGCAAAACTTTTTAATTTGATAATGATGATATTATACCCATTGATATCGATGTGAAAGTTCTTACGTTATGATAATCATTTACATATTATGTAATCAGTTATCCAATTAACAATGCAATAAACATTCAAAAATTGAATTACATGTTATCTGAAATTGAAAGGAAATAATTTTGATCATGACCAAACTATCCAGCTCAAAGAACGAAACTCCATCAAAATCATCCACCTGAGCTACAAATCTTCTCCATTATCTCAAGAAAATAATCCACTAACTTTCAACGAATTGATACAAAAATGTATTGTATGCTCCATGACTTGACAATTTAGTATTCATTCATGAGTATTCACTGTTAAAAATTCTTAAGTTAAGATGAAACGGGTTTCATTGTGATCCATGATTTCCAGTGATACTTTACATGTTGTTAGTAATGTTCACAAATCATACAACTTTATAATAATTGTTTTTCATGGTTTCATATCTTTCCTAACAATATTATTGTGTGTAAGTTCTCTAAATATTTTAAACTTTTAGTATAAACATGATCAACTACGCCTGGAGCCCCTCTAGGGTTACTTCCGGTCCCAAGCCCGGATAAAGACGGAAGATTGGGCGTGGGGTTAGCGAACCCATTACGTAGAAAACTAACTCGCTAAAAGAACACTAACCAGAATAATTATGAACATGATTGTTATTATTTTTTTTTTAATTAATCAGATCAATACACTAGATAAATCGTCATAGACATACCTTCCAAATGTTGTTCCAACTTTACATTCCCAACAACCTGAATATGTCTCTTTGAATGTTTTCGCAATATAATCAGCTATATCATCATGAGATGAGAATAAATTCATAGCTTCTAATGATAATTCAATTGCATGTTGTTGCATTTGTTCAATTTTTTTAGTTGGACTGGACATTGTTCTGTCACAATCAAACAAATAGAAACTATATATCACAAACGAAGTATATTTGTTACTAGCTAAATTATTTCATTTTGATTTAGTATTTATATTAATAATTATAACTACACATTCTTGATATATATACATAATTAGTAGCTTACGATCAATGACAATGTTTTGCCATTATACCAAGAAACTATTATTGATTACAAGTGAGAAGCCTACAACCTCCTTATAATCAACTAATTATATTTTTTTACAATGATTGTCAATAAAATTTCTTCTCATTTCTGAACTATGTCGTCATGCTTGTCCATGTTCACGTGACAGTGCTAAAAGTAGCTATGCATGTTAGATAATGAAAATTGACTTAAAAAATAAAAGAGATTTAATATCTTTTTGCATTCATCATAAATACCATGTGATAAAGAATGTATTGTACATGTTAACTAGGAAGAATGTTTGTTTTCTTTATCTCTAAGTAAAGGACAGTTAACGTTTTAATTACTAGATTTTTTGTATCTTTGGACTGATAATCAGTTTTAGAAATCAACTTGCCTAAGTGCTAATAAAAAAAAGGAAAACTTATTATCTGAACATCTAATTTAATAGAATATTTAGTGTTAGATAGATACAGTTAACAAATATTCATACTAATATGAGGTTTCTGTATACTTTCAGATGTTGTCGAATCTATCGAAACGTTGAATTAAACAATTGAAATACCCACGAGACCGAAGTTCATAAAACAGCGATTTGTTTAAAAAAGAAATTCTTTATCGAAGAATAGACATATATTAGTTATCAATCTCAAATCGTGAGATATCTGTTAAGCTTAATGAGTCTGTAAGTTTAAAATAGAAAAGGCTTCCTGTAATTATGACATACGATAGTGAAAATGACAGCTGATAGCTGTGTTTAATCTTGAACACAGTTTTTCAACAAATAATAAAAAGCAGACAAATGTGGAAACCGTTGTGTTTGAACAAAAATTAAACCGCTATACAAAATCGAGAATAACTGTTACAGGGCTTGAGAGTAAATAATCACAATAATAAATACAATAAATGTTATAAGTATACGTGAAAATTTTAGATTACAAGACAAACTTGGGTTAGAATTCGCTAGGAATACAACTATTTACTAAATATTAATAAGTAGTATAAAACAATACACAAAAAAGTGTTGATGGGGAGAGAATAAGGATGGAACGTAAACAAACTTAATAAGTGAATTGATATAAATGACTGTCAGGAATTTTTACGATTTACACTCCAATAAATAATATGTATCATTTATTTAACTTAAAGAAAGTACCCTTAAATCATATGTAAACCACTGGATGGTGTAACTAGCCAGTTACTTAAACCTCAAAGTTGATGCTTAAGCTTAAATTCATTTAAAACTATTTAGATTCAAAATAGTACATTCAAAATGAAATGATTTTTTAAATGTATGAATTTTGCCTTTTACACACGATGTTATAAGTTCTATTATAGAAGTCACAGTTTAATTGTTGTTTCGGTTCGAGCAGCGGTTTTCTTTCATTCAGATTATTTTATATCATAAAATCTTATTATATTTTGATTACCACATTTTATTTCTTAGTCGTTTTCAGGTTATCTCTATTTCTACTTCTAATATAGACAAGAAATTTAAAATATCACTCAAAAATCATTAAAGTAAGGCCAAAGACAGATGTGCACTAGTTAGAATTGCAATACCGCATTGGTATGACGAAATGAAATTAACAAGATATATTGCAATAAAGGACCGGAATAATGTAGAAAAAAGTGAAGGATTAGGTATTGAGAATAAGGTTCTAAAATACTGAATCAAAAGTAATATAATAGAAAATACTTGAATTTTTGATCCAGAAGAAGATAAGAAGTGAATGCATCTGTGCTATTGCTAATGAATTTGAACCATGTGATTCAAAGTCTGTATCCACTGATCTCCGTTATACCACGGACACCAAGCAGGTAGTCTGAATCTTCCAACAATAAATGACTCCATTAACTGATGCCGAGTCTTGGTCTTGCAACTGTTTAAAATGTACTTTACATTTTTCAATATACTTTATAAGAGTGTAAATTTGTAGTGTGTCGTCGAGTCGAAATCGACTATGAACACCACTACAAAGGAACGCATGCCAGGATATCCACAAAATCCCCCGGAAGCCAAATATCAGGAGGCAGTTAATGGAGCAAGTCGAGATATATTTGCTGGCGATCTAGTGGTATCGAAAGAATACCGAAATCGTGCCAGTATACGAGCTTGGTTACCGAGCGTAACCGAATTCGCGCGAGGTCACAATCAAAGTGTAAGAGTAATGATGGAAGCACAATACAGATGTCATTAGCACAGTTAAACAAAGAGCAAATTAAACAGTCACTGGTACAAATGGTTATAATAATAATTGTTTTCATTAAACCAATCGTTTCCTCGTGGTAAAAATAAGTCACTACAAATTAATTAGTGGTAAGGCTTCCAATACCTAAACTATATAACTCAAATCCGAAAGCCAGAAGTTTGACTTCTGTAAACTTGCTTAATATCTAACTAAACGAAAGTACTTATAAATATGTAGTTTCATTCTAATGCTTATTTGATAAACCTTGAACGTAATGTAGTTTACACAATGTTAGTACAGCTCTTGTTGAATAAAAATTATTAATTTTCATAATGTTCTCATTTACGCCAACGTGGCTTCTGGACTTTTATTAAATGTTTTAAAAAAAAACAAAAAACAGAAATGATTGAAGGACTAAACAAAAATCCATTTGTTACTACCATATTTATGTTCTATATATAATTATCATCCCGTTATCAACGGTCTTCAATAGATCTTTTACCTTTCCATGTTTATCTCCAGGAAATCGATATTAACCCGTTATTTGCGCTGTACTTCTCTTTATTTCCCTCAAATTCGCCCTTGTTTTCTTTTTAATGACTAGTTTAGGACGGCAGCTTTCAACGGGGAATTGCGCAAAAACAAGTGAAATGTTTGAATTGAAAAAGAAAGATATCACACTTAAAATGATTTTAAACGACCTGTTTTATAGGTTTTTTAGACGTCAGTTGGATACTTGTTACTACCATTATTACGAACATACATATCAGTTCCTGTAGTGATGTTCAAGTACAGGCTTCCTCCTGATAACGATCAGAATTAATAGTAAAACGTGTATTGTCACTCACTTTAGTGCAACCGAGGATATTCCCAATCTAAATATTCTCTCGACTTTAGCGAACAGCGATCATGTTGTTTTTATCAATCATGTTTCGGGCTTTTGATATAATACACGATCAGGTTAAACTCGCACAAATGTGTGGAGAGCACACATGTCAGTTATGCAGGAGTTTGCTACAACAACGGACTGGTCAGTTTGTGACGGAGTTTTGTTCTCTGAGATGGATTGTTTGGTCATGAAGCTTTCATCGTTCTCCTGAACGACATCATCAGCACAAACTTCAGCTAGAAGTGAAGTGTTCAAATTTCTCCGTATGTGGTTCACAGCTTGTGCTTTACACCTCAGTGTTGATTACTTCTTGTTGACCTTAAACCTGTCACTGTTTACTTCTTTGTTTTGGATATATCTCCAATCGATTTGGATTTAATCCTATGTTTGTCCATAATTTTCTTGATTGGTTGATATACTGGATTGATTTCAATGTGCTTAATGATTGTTGATTGACCTGAGAGGCGAACTCATGGAGGTTATTGTGATCCCACCACGTTCGGTACAAGAAAATCCTTCGGTGTTGGGAAGAAATGATGCCGCTGAAGCTCAAGCTTTGCCGGAATACTTTGATAAATTGTTTACAATTGACGATGGCGAAAGACCAACAGTTAATCGTGACAATTGTGGCTTGTTGATTTGACCTTTGGTTATTGTAAAAAAGGCTGTCCCATGACTAATTTGACATCTCAAACCACATATAACCAGTGGTTCGGATGATACCGAATGACCGAGGCTGTTATCTTTCAAACGCCTCAAACGCTAGGACTTTTATCAAAGTATTTTGTCATATGTATAGGCTACTTCATTATACACACAATTCTGTTGAGTAGCGACATCGTTTGTGGCCTTGTGTATTAGTAACCCCAAGTGATATTTCACTTGTCCAACTCTCTGTGTTGACCCGATGACGAAGATTTTCATTGATCAGTAGTCAGAAATTAGACTTCTAGCCCAGTAAGTACTTCATAGAAGCTATCATTTGGTGCTCCCACTCATGTGGATTGATCTACTGTGGTGTTTGAGTTAACTAATGATTCTTTCGTTCTTGCTGAATGCTCGATTTCGAATTCTAAATACAATACATTCGTTTGTGCCTGTGTCTTCTTAATTCAATTGCGTTAATCCTGGAATTCCTAGTTCATACGATAATTCTAATACTATATTGGCGTCGCGATGGAGCTTGTAATGGAAAAGTTAGATATTCATTCAACTCCTGAAGCTTTTGAAGATTACTTTGAAAGGTTCGAAATCTGGGCTGTCACCAAGGAAGATTATTAGGATGTTAATATTGTGGCACACTTCCTCACATTCATTGGAAAAGAAGCATACAGCTTGTTAAGAACTCTGGCTATGCCGGAAAAGCCCATTTCGCTTCCTTATACAGCTCTCAAGGAACTGCTGCTAGACTATGTTCAGTATACAAGTTTCGAATGCGGTAAAGGAGGGAGATTTCGTAAAATGATTCATGAGGATATAAAAAATTCCACTACATTATGTCATTCCAACCCAGTTCATACTCAAGATTATGCAGACAATTCATTGAGGAGATGCAATGCATTTCACGAAGATGGGCACAAGTTTAGTCAGTGTTTGTCCTGTGGCAAGTTCCACTCTTTGAATTCATGTAAATTTCGTAATTCTAAGTGCTTTAAATGTGGTGATATTGGACATATTCAGTCAGTCTGTAATACTACTGTTCATCTTGCTGCAACTAATATTAAGCCGTGTAATTCTGATTCTATTAAGTCGAGTATTTATAATGATCATTTATCTTTATCAACGATTTCAAAAGACAGTGTAGAATCATATAGCAGTTC